TTACCAATGTAGGTATATGTTTTAAAATTGCTATAATAATAATTTTTTTATTTAAATTTTTAAAAAACTTTAAAGCTCATACTTTTATCGTCAACTATAGAAAACAGTAATTTCTTGTTTTTTTATTTACAGATTTGTGACAAAAAATATGTAAATATTTTGACTAATTTGTTATTTTGTTAATTATTGTTTTGTACAGAAAAGTAGAGTTACTAACTCGCTCTCAATAGGCAATTACATCAACGCTCTCGGAACGTCGGTAACATTATCGCCATATCTTGCTTATTAATTAATTTTATTACCATACTTTGTTGTAAAATAATATTTAATTACGGTAGGTACAAATGTTTTATATTACAAATAATTCACGCAAAAAGAGGTTTAAGGTTTTCTTAAATGACTTATTATTTATAATAGCAATCCTTGTCATACAACACTTCGTAATTCCTGTTTAAAATACATTTTAATTTTTTTTAATTTCACTTTTTAGTTTGCATCATAAATTGTCATTTTCAATTATTAAAACAATTAGTGCAAAGTAATGGTATTTTAGTACCTTTCTCAATGTGGATGATGTCTTCCATGCTAAGAAGTTCTTTCAAGGAACACATGTTGATTTTAAACCTCTTTTTTAAATATCAGTGAGCTAAACAATAACTCACGTATGTATTAAGAGGTTGGGGAAAATTGTTTAAAATTGCGATTAATTTCCAATTATAGTTTAAGGAAGCGTAATTTTAAGTTATTTTAGATCTTTTTTAACTAAACGAAACCTTTTGTTTTCTTTAAATAGTATTTGTACAAAATTAGCTTAATTCAACAAATATAAATTAATTTTGTTTTAATAATTTGTATTTAGTGTAGGTTTTTTTTTAATTTTTTATGATTCAGTTACTATTTATTTTAATACACCTAAAAAAGGGGCAAAACATTATGTTTGAAAGCTTACTACCGGCAAAAATTGTGTTATTAAGTGCCGTAAAAAAGATCATCATCAAAACAGAAAAACAAAACAATTTGTTGGTGAGTGCACTTAGCACTAAATTAATATACACGGTGCGCCAGAACTCGCACCCTTGAGAAAAATTGCATGTAAGATAAGATAGCAGGAACATGAAAAAAATGTTTAAAAAATTCTATCTGTCAAAAATTTTGACATTTATTTTTTGACATTTATGTCTATTTCATCATACTGATGATCTTGTATATGTTTTTTTGCAATTATTTAGTAAAGGTACAAAAATTTTGCCAATAAAAAATTACAATTTAGGATATAGCTTCCTTGTTTCCTCTTCTAATAGCCTGTAGCAAAATTATTTTTTCAACAGAAATAACATTTTTTCTACGTTCCTGGTATCTTACTTTATATGGCATTTTTCTCTGGGGGCGAGAGTTCTGGCGCACCCTGTATTTTTACACTTTTTTGTTATTTCTCAAATCAACAACACATTTTTTTCATTTATTTTTGCAAGAGTTGGTTGTATAAAACAATTTAATTTTTTTGAATAGTTTTAATGTACAAGCGCCGTCAAAAATAATGTCGGTAGATTCCTATTAAACTGCTTGACGTCTACAGGGTGCGCCAGAACTAGGAGCACAGAAAAAAATGTTAAAAAATTCTATCTATAAAAATTTCGATGTTATGAGAGTTTAAATTTTTGCACTTAGATTCTATTTATTTCTGTTAAAAAAATAATTTTCCAAGTTTTTTTTTGCTACAGACTATTAGAAGAGGAAACAAGGAAGCTGTATCCTTAATTGTAACTCTGTTTAATTTAGGCTTTTATTGGCAACATTTTTGTACCTTTACTAAATAATTATAAAAAATATATAGAAGATTATCAGTATCATTAAATATACATAAGAAATCTCAAATGTCAAAATATAAATGTCAAAATTTTTTGACAGATAGAATTTTTTAAACATTTTTTCCATTTCCTGGTATCCTACCTTTTTCTCTAGGCCGCGAGTTCTGACACACCTTGTATAGAAGATTTCTTTTGATTAATGTAGTTTTTTTATTATTTGCCAACATGAAAAAAATGTTGTATTTGTAATACACTGCCCACCAAAACCAATATTTTAATAGTTTTTTTACACAATTCGGTTATTTTTATAATATCAACCGTGGTTGCTCTAACTGTTCACCAGTCTTTGGCCAATCACCCCAGGTGCCGTCCTTCGCAAAAATGTCTACAAACCATCTGTTAACCTTCGCGACCGACTCAGGTGTCTTTTCATTCAATTCAATTAACTTCAAATTTTAAAAATATATAAAAATATCTACCTGTTAAAAATCATTTTGTAAGTTCCTATGGCACACTTGAAAATAGAAAGAAGAAAAAAAAACAGTTTGCAGCACTGCAACACTGCACTCCACCCGCGCGTTGTTCAATACTTCTTTCACGAGAAGAGCACGGATGTGGGTTAGTACGGTCGGTCAATCGTATACACTGTCACTTATTAAACCAGCTGGTGCTGAGAACTAAAGCTTTTGCACTAAGAAGGAGAGAGAATTTTTACCCCTCCATGGCTCGATGACAGAGTAACCGGTGTCAGGGTCTACACCGAAATGTGGAGAACATCTTACGAAATTAGGCTAATTAGACGGAGGGGTTTTGCGGAGACGATGGGAGTGACAAGTTGCCGCTGGCAAAAAAATTTATTACACTTATTTTGTGGCGAGTTTTGAATCATAATTTGGAGAATTTTTGGTTTTTGGGGCTTATTTCGGTCTTGGACAAATTTAGGAAAAGTCTAAAATTCTTGGAGGGTCTAAAAAAAATTTTTATCGTCTCTAAAAAGTAACCCAAGAACAATTTTCAAAATCTGTAAATAGGTACTGGCTTTTTGACAATAAATAGGAAGTTTCATAAAAAATGCAAACTTAGATAGGTAAAGATATAACAATGATAATTCAGAATATATTATAAAATACATAATCCCATTAAATACCTCGTAAAAAATTGGGTCACTTGGTTGCACTGAGACTAAGATTTTTTTGTCTTTTTTTCTTAAACCTGTTACTCGTAAAATAGTAGACCCTAAAATTTAAGATTTGAATATTTTCATTTTTAACGATAATTAATTACAAAAATTTAGCAAAATTTGGTTATCTTATGTTTATTGAGCCATTTATTCTCTCATATACCATTGGATTTTAAGATTTTTTTTGAATAACCCTAGAAACTAAAAAAATAACCAGTTTTGTTAATGGAATATAGTGGTTTCAATTATCTACATATTCTAAAATTGACTTTCTCCTTATCCTAAGAGAAGGAGCTTTTGAAAAATTGTTGAATTTGTTTTTGCTATATCTACAAGCTGAACAAAAAGTATGAAATCAAAAATTTTGCTTTAGAGTCCTTAATCTGGAAAAAATGTATGAGTTTTTGAAGAATCAATTTTTTCCTACTTCGAAAATTTTTTTCGACATCAATTTAACTTTATTTATGTAGATAAAACGGTAGTGTTTCCCAAAATAAAAAAAATTGTATACATATACAGTATGATGAAAAAAAGGCGCCCACACGTTATAAGTGATCTTTTATTATACTAATATCATTTTGCTAAGACCTACTAAAAATTTTATTACTTTTAAGTTAAATGCAGTATTGTTAAGAGTAAACCAGAGGGTAAACAAATCATAAATTAGTGGAACCCACCCGGACCCTGAAACAGGTCAGTTTTTAACAGGGCCGGATTATTTACTTTCTTTTTGTCTAAAATACTTGAAATATTTTAATAGTTTTTGATGTAGTCAAGTATTTTAAGAAATATAAAAAAGCCAGGTGGTTATTAACAAGTTATTATTTAATAAAGCAGATTTTTTTTAAATAATAGCTTGGTAAAACTCTACCACTACTTTGGTTTTAAATACGGCCCTGTTTTATTCTGGTGGGTGCAGCAACACTTGCAAAGGAACGTGCCATTTATGGAGGGTTACAAATTCTAGCCATTGTTTGGTTAATCTCTTATAATGTGTCATAAAATTTTTAGTAGGTCTTACGAAAATGATTTTTCTATAAAGACGAATTCGAAGACCAAAATTGGATTTGTGCTCTTATCAGTAAGATATAGACTTTCCTTTTTAGAAAAGAGAAATCTATATAATTAACAGTTTTAGAATAATTTCATTGTTAAAGTCTAGATTTTGATACTGTTGACGGTGTTCTTAAAAAAATGTGTAAAAAGTCTATTGAAATAAACTTTATTGAAGATGTTTGGATATCATTTCTTGGCTCCAAAGAAAATTTATCAATGTTGCAACATTGCAAATATGATAGGATACAGAAAATGTCCAAGTAATATTCAATTATTGGAAACGGTAGCAACAAAAAAATCAATTTTCAATGTTGTTTGTTCTGTGAAATTTGAACGATTAAAGTCAAAAAGGTTTCCTAGATACAAAAAATACCTGAGTAAAATAGTTTTTTAGTAAAAGAAATTTGTGCAATATTGCCGCTTTGTGCTGTTAGACAAACTGTTTAAATTTTAAAAAGAATCTATTTAGACTATTTTTGGAATGATGGTCACAATGTTTCAAGAAAAAAGGACGCGCCTGTTTCAATCGTGGGCGCCTTTTTTTATCACCCTGTAGAAAGCTTTTTAAAAATGAAATTTTTGTGTATCAAAATAAATAAATCTACACAATTAGGTATACTATTTCTTTTTAAATTAATTAAAATTTATCAGTAAGGCTCGATTTATAGAAGCGTTAAAGTCAATTGCAATCAAACGTCAGATTAACTGATCACGTGACCAAATTGAACCAACCAAATGCCCAGATTCACGGGTTAATCGCATATTAACTTTTTAACAAATTCGCCTTCTATAAATCGACTCTAAGTTTATTAGAAAGTAACAAAAAACGGTTTTTTAAACTTTACAAAATTTGTGTTATGTTTGTCTAAAGTTTGAAATTATTTTTTTTAATTGTGTATATAAGTAATTATTTGTATTTTAAATTAATTTTGGTATTTTTCTTGTTTTATTTATTATTTTCTTCTGCTGCTACCGTTCCAGTCACTAATTCAGACATTAACAAATGATATAACGCTAAAAACCATAAAAATCACATTTGAATACTGCAATAAATAAGCGACAGGATGTGCAAGAGAAAGTCTAAAAAATCCACGCTTATATTTTTATAGTAAATAAAAAACATATTTTGTTAAATTAATACAATTAAAATAAATAACCGCAACTTCTTGATTGAAAAAAGAAAGTCACCTAAAAAGTTCTTAGGTTACAATAATAACTGTTGAACCATTATTAGACTCTTTGTTTATTTTACATTATTAGCACAGTTGTATCAGTTACTGGTTCACTATGTCATCGCTCTAATACAACCAACACCTACTTAAATACAAATTAATTATTTATATACCTGCTGGAACAATGTAAATACCAAACTATAAATAATCAAATTGGGTAAGCCACCAACTAATTACTTGAAAAATATTACAAGAGTGGTCCAGTTCTACGAAATTTTCAACCTTGAATGTAAAAGTGTTAGTTTTTTTACTGATTAATTGTTGAAAAATGTTGTTTTTTGATATTTAAATCGTGACATCACGATCATGAGATAAACAGAGCATTCAAGAAAATGCTAACGACACTCGTCAGGATTTTCATTTGAAACCACCCATACCCAACGACATTTCTCATTGAAAAATTTTTATTATCTTGTTCAATCACGAGTACCAACTTGTGACCAAACTCAGCAAGAAGAACTACTTCCAATAAAACAGGACCATAAATATCACCTTATGTAACAGCAAGTTTCGTTAAATACGAGTACATATCAATAAATGTAATTATTAATGACTTACAAGCCTAGAAAAATCCCGATTCTTGTTACAATTTTGACCCTTTCACCAGCCTAGACATAAATCTAACAAATCGTTTCCCAATACATTTTTATTATTACAAGCCTAGGCAATTTATTTAAATTTAAATACGTAGTACCAGTCAATGGGCAACAGATGGTGGCCATTAACAAGTCTGCTGTTTTATTAGTTTGTTTTTATTAGAGTGAAAGTAATTTACAAACAATACTTCTCATTAAATAATTGTTGTAATTTTTAAATTACAAGGTAGGACAATGCATTTCTCACGTGACTCTAATTCAGACTGGTCAAAATAGAAATGCTCTTCCTTCCGATGTTGAAACTTTTAATTGGGAATTGTAATCTTCACTGAAGCACAAAATAGGCTTCCGTGATTTTTTTGTCGTAAAAATAAATAAAACAAACTACACGACACCAAAAATGTGCTCCTGATGTAAAATATAAAAAGTTACGAGAAATAGTTATAAAGTTGTTTAGACAACAAAAATCTAAATCACCTTCATAGAAAAATGGGTCGAATTCTTTCTTTACAAAATTATGTATATTTTTATTATCTCTCGAATTAATCACGTTCATTATAATATCTTCCAGCAATAAATTAGGCGCAACTTCCTCAAACAACTTCATCACAATTTTTTGTGAAACATTTATTTTTTGATGATTTCCTCATTCCCGAAGATTTCGCATTCAGGGTCGTCTCACATACGTGAAATGTATCCAAAATCGAGATTTTTACTTTCCAATTACCTTGAGTAAGTGCTTTTCAAGGCGGTATTGTACGTAATTGTAGCACTAATTAAATGATAAAATGTCACATGACTGGTACGCCGAATTAGGTCTAGAAAATTTTTATTTTAAGGACAATAAACCTGCAGCCTTGTCTAGGATTTATTTGGGTGAGAGTTGGAATTTTGCCAAAAGCTATTATTGTGCGAACAATAGGGGCATCATAAAACAAAACTTTAGAAAAAAAATAAGAGAAATTTTGCTGGAGGGCCCAAAATTTTTAACCATTTAATAAATTCTTAATTAATGCGACGATTTATTCAGTAATTAACATTAAAATTAATGAACTTTATGGTTCAAGTAATCTGGTTTGGGAATTTTGTAACAAAATTGCGATTTTGCTGTTTCAGCGATTTTATTTTCATATACTCTTGTTGAAAATTTGTAAGAATTGTGACCTGTTTACCTGTTTTTTTTAAGTTTTTATGTAATTAGATAAACAACTTTTTATTAAAAACAAGTAATATTTTGGTAACAACTATTATATAACGTTACATAGGATTTTACTTCGATAAGATTATTATCGATTTAGGGTTAAATTTGATGTAATCCGCCCACTGTAAAACATTCCAAAGTAGTTAACATAATTCTTAATGAGTAATTAAGACTTTTAAGACTTTTATTCGTGTTGTTTCCTAGATTATCACTTGTTGTTGAAAGGCTTTCTGTGCTACTAATTGATGCTGCAATAATCTAGAACTGGGAATACAAAAAAAAAAACGAAATTAAAACACCTTTTATGGATATTAATACGAGTAGTAAATCTCGTATCAGACTCTAATAATAATTAAGTAGAAATTATTATATTATAAAAATGTTTTACACCTGGACGTTGAAAGCGCTTGTTAAG